CACAGCCTTTCAGAGCGCGCACGGGAGGGGTGGTCGGGGCGTGGTGTAGTGGTCTAAGGCGGCGGTTCAGCCCCGAGACAGGGGCGCGGGTTCGGTTCCCGGGCCCGCAGACCTCCGCATTTTCGTTTTGCTTTTTTGTGGAAAATGTTCCTAATGGAATTTTCATGACGCTAGACGATTCAAAAGCATCCTAGCACCCCCGTTCGCGCATAATAAATCAAGAAAAACAGCCGTCTCATTTATATATCCAAATCGACCGCTGTTAAAATAAAAAAAAGCTTAGACATTCTAAAAACATTTGCGGCAGATAGAGCTGAGTCGGTTCTGTGTTCCTGGCTTTCAAGTAGGTTCTAAAACAGCCAGAAAAAATTATTATAGCCAGTTGTACATTTTAACTAACTTCCTATTGAATCCTGCTGTAGATGTCAATGGGATACGTTTCTGCACTTTATTGGATAGTTTCTAGTCTATAGTTTGCTAAAAAAATGCTATTGAGGCGCTCTGCGCAAATATTTAGCTTCCCCATGATGCCCTTTGTCTAAGGTACCTCATTTTTTCAACTTCAAACGGACCGGGCGCCCGATTTGCGTGTCCGGTTGACGGATAAGCGTGTACAAAAGATAGAGCGAAGAGTGCTTTATTTTCCTATCACGCAAGTCGCTTAGAAAACCTCCGGAGAAAGAAGCTACAGCAAGTTGAAAATGAAAAATTTTGGCCCCCTTTACTTTATCAATGCATTACGCGATGGTTTTGGAGTGCCGCGTCACAGCGGCCCGGGCGCCTAATAAAACGTCCGGTAGAATTGGAAACCAAGAAAGACCGCAACGCGTGCGATAGACGCGTCGCGCCATTGCGAAAGCAAGCCTGCGCAGCTAAAATCATGCTGCTATTTCGCGCCCCAGGCAAAAATCCGTACAGTACGCCTTTTCCCGGGAGCCATCGGGACCGAACCCATGGGCGGTTGTGGCGTAGCCTAACCCCCCTTCCCCCTCTCGTGCGCGCATTTATCAAAGGTTAAAAGGCCATCTGCGAGTCACCCGAACAGTCCCCAATATGGCTTGTCACAGTTTTTTTAGACCCCGCTTTTTCGATGCCATGTGAAAGAGCATGGTCGAATTAGCAGGGCTGCATGGTTTTGAATGTTTAAAAAGTTGATTTTTGGTGTTTAAATGGCCGTTAAAGTTGACCGCCTCCAAAAACTATCTCGAAAACTACTTGACCAAATTTGCTGATAATTTGTGACAATACCTAATTTGGGGCGGTGATCATTTTTTCAATACATTTCAAAGCATGAAAATGGCCGGAACATCGGAATCTCGCGTACTCAAATGAGTTTTTCAAATGTTACTATTTAATAGGAAGTCGTCGCCACTCTAGAAACACACTTAAGAGATGCGCAATTAAATTCTACATCGGATGATGTGTTTTTCAACTTGGCGACAGCTTCCTATTAAATCCTAAAAATGGCATTTCTAAAATTAGCAAAAACAGTTCAATAAATAGATAGCGTTGTTTTTTCGCAACCGGAGGCATGCAATCGGATATTGACGCAAAGTCGAGCCTGATACAAAAAAGAGCAAAAATAAATATCGTTTCTACGCGAAATTGGGCTCGGCGGGGAATCGAACCCGCGATGCTCCACCTGGGGGGCACTGGGACAGCCACTAGTGGGCGCCGCCACCTCCCCAGGCGAACGACCCGAGTTCAATCGCAGCCCCCTTTTAGAAATCGAATTTCTTTTTGCTCTTTTTTGCAATCGCTTTGTGTTGGTCTTTCGATACGAAACACTGTCTTTCTGTTCAGAAATACCAAAATTTTTCGTTTTTGGGGCCTTTGAAAGTCGTTTTTCGATTTAATAGGAAGCTGTCGCCACGTTGAAAAACACATCATTCGATGTATAATTTAATTGCGCATATTTTAAGTGTGTTTCTAGGGTGGCGACGACTTCCTATTAAATAGTATTTCTTGAAAAACTCATTTGAGTACGCGAGATTCCGATGTTCCGGCCATTTTCATGCTTGGAAATGTATTAAAAAAATGATCACCGCCCCAAATTAGGTATTTTCACAAATTTGCAGCAAATTTGGTAAGGTAGTTTTCGAGATAGTTTTTTGAGGTAGTCAACTTTAACGGCCATTTAAACACCAAAAATCAACTTTTTAAACTTTTAAATCTATGCGGCCCTACTAATTCGAACTTGCTCTACCAGATGGCATTAAAAAAACGGGGTCGAAAAAAAGCTGTGACAAGCCTAGTTCGGCTCTCCGGCAAACGGCCTTTTAAATCGTAGTGAAAAAGCGAGTACAGTGAAGTTTTCGAAGTCAAACCGACGTTTTTCGAAAAAAAAACTCAGGATGGTAAACTATCCGGCGCCCCGAAGGAGAGCGGAGCGTTGCGGAAATACCGTAACGCGACTTCGACTTGGGGGAGGAATTTGGGTTTTTTTGGCCTTAGCGGTTTTTTATTTCCTGATGAAGCGCCATGTTGTTGAGTTTTTTTACTAAAAAAAACCAAGTTCCGCGCGTTGTTGATTTTATGTGCACTCGGCTTTGTTAAAGTGCGTACTTTCTTTTATACGCGAGTCAAGACGGCACGGAGATGCAAAATTTAAGCCTTGATAGCGCTTTTCGATTCCTCACATAATAAAGGACATTTTGACGTGAGCATCATCGAAAATTAGCCGTACGAAGCTTTCTAGGGTATTATAAGGTTTTTTGGAGCTTTCCCCATTGCTCAGCGCGAAACCTTCGTGCCTGCTTCTTCTATCTCCTAGCGCGACGATCTTGTAGAATCTATTCAAATTAATATTATTCTGCCGCGTTTTCTATAGATTTGTTATCTTTTCACCCTTATCAGCCTGGCTCCGCATAGCTCTAATTTATTCCATCAATTTCAGGAAGCACTCCTTATAACATGGGCGACGTAGCCGAACAGCAGCCGATGGAGGTGCAGCCCAGCGAAAGCCCGTTCGAGGAGCCAACACCGGTAGAGGGACCGGTCTTCGCTTTAACTTCCTCATTTTAGTCCGATACCCCGTCATCCGATGCACCGCCATCATCGACGGGCGCGGTCGCCGACAGCGGGGAGGAGGCCGAAGGCACCAAGGACCCGCAAGCCCCGCCGCCTGCTACGATTCTTCCTGCAAAGTAATACGAAGTTTTGATATAACCTTTTCGGTTTAGTCCGACTGCCGTGCCAGCTGAATCTGAGGCGGGACGTCCGACCGGCGCTTCGACCGCTACAGGCCTCCCGACGCGCCAATTCCTCGATCAGACCATCGTGCCAATCTTGCTGCAAGGACTAGGTAAACTTTTTGACCCTCGTTGCGAAGCGATGACGAATCTACGGGAATCTGTTTTGGGTTCTGGTTCGTTGGTTGAATGGGGGTTCTAGATCACTTTTGAGGCTCAATAATGAAAGCTAGACTATATTTTCCATTCCTAACTTTTTTGAAGTATGCAAACATTTGAAAGTTCGGAAACCATAAGAATTTTTGACTTACTGCTAAAAGGCGTAAAACCGGCCGAAAAGTCCGCAAATGTACAAACGATCCGGCATCTTTTTGGTAAAGTTTTATTACCGCAGCTTATCTCGAAAACGGAAACTGTAGCCCTAAACTTTGTTTGGCGCGCCGGTTGGTCAGGTTTTATCTTTAATTTTTCGCTTTTCAGGCAGCTTGGCGAAGGAGAGACCAGAGGATCCGATCCAGTACCTCGCCGACTTCCTGCTCCGCGAGAGGTCGAAGTATACTGGCTCAAGCACTGGCGGCCCGAGCACAAGCGCCTGAAGTTACGCGGCAGCTGAATTCCAATTTCTCACTTTACCCCGTCCCCCATTGGATGCATTCTTGATATTTTGTTCCGCTGCGTCCCTCCAAATTCTGGCCTACCCGTTTGCAAATTTTGTCATTGCTTTTCGTTCCGACATTGTTCGTTTTTCAATAAACATTTCACGCCGTATTTTCGCTTATTTCAGCCACAGCTTTATGGCAGCAAGATTATCATGGATTTGGCTTTTGAAATCATTCGCTCTGCGTCGCAAAATACTATTCTAGCCCAAAGTGTTACGTATTCTGATTTCATATTGTCAACTTTTAGGCGTCCGGCCACTACCCCAGAAAATGCCCGGTTGTTTTGGATTTACCGACAGCAAATAAAAAATTGCGCATTATTAGCGGCGTGTTAGGTTTTTATAACAGTTTCGTCATTTTTCGCGCGGTTGCGAGACCTTCCACCCGGTTCAGTTTGGATGTTCGGCCCGGGCCGATAGCAATCCTACATGCAACCCGTGTTTTTTCAGGCGAATGGATCCACATCATCGTGAAGAAGCTTGGCTAAATCAATGCATTGCACTCGATCGAGCACTCGCGTGTGGCAACGCACCGGTACTGCGCGACGCTCCGATACGTGAGCCAGACAAGACAGCGGTCCTGAGCAGCTCAAGTAATTGCTTTTGAAAAGCTTTGTTATTTGAAGTTTAGATACGTCGGAAGCGACCCCAGGACAGGCATCAAGCTCGAATGAGAACAAAGCCGGCGCCAAATCCGATCGGCCAAAGGATTGGGTGAAGGGATTGATTCGGGACGGCCGCTGCCTGTCACGTCCATCAAAACAGCGGAAGCCCTCGAAAGTCAAGGGCGCCAAGACGAAGAACGGAAACCTTGCTCCACACGGTCTCGACCAGAACAAAAATGATGCTATCGGCGTGTCGCCTTCGGCCAGCGCTCGCCGTCGCATGGCTGCCGATCATAACATCTTTTCCTCGGAAAGCGACGAGGCACCGTTGGCGCACGGCGACGGACAGAAACCGAACGATTTGACGGTCGCGGGAGATTCTGGAGCAAACCGAGACTCCTCCCCCGAACTCGTCATCCGGAGGCCCGCCTCTTCTAAACCTACTACGGCTCAAAAGAAGGAAGGAGGGTCTGGAAAACAACTGCCTCAAGAGGGTCCAACCATCCCGGGAACCGAGCCGACCCGAAAAAAGCTGAAGCCTCTGAAGCTGGTTGATGCAATAGCAGCGGCGCCAAGCACCATCAGTTCCTCGAAGCACCTGGACGGGCATAATGGGTCAACTATTACATGCAAAGCGCCGGCTGAGCCGGCTACTGAGAAAAATGTGCAAAAGCCTGACATCAAGAGGGCGGCGAATGTCGACGAGCCTGCAACACCTCAGCCTGATTCAGCAACGAAGCGCATCAAACCGGCACAAGAGGTGGAAAATTGGGTTATCACCGGTACGTTTTATTGGTGAGTCGAGGATACTTTCCCTTTAGATCACGCAAAGAAGAAGAAGAAGATGCCTGCCGATGCGCAAATCGAACTGCTCAAGAAAATGACGGCACGAGTTGCCCCTTCATCCAAACGACCTGCTATGAATAATGGCTTGCAAGGCGGGACGAATGATGGTTCTTCGAAGGGCACTGCCGGTAAGATTTATCTATTTGCCATACATTCTTTTTCCAGCGAAATTGCCGAATGTACCGCCGATGCCGGCTGCTTTGGGATTCCTGAATCAGGGCGCTTTTCGACCGCTATCAACTATGAACACGGTATCTGCGTCAGAAACAGCCGGTGCCTCGTCAAATCGTTCGCATGCATCCGACGGGTATTTGGATAGATAACTTTGGGTTAATTGATTGCCTAGGCTGCAAAGCTGTCTCAAAGGAAGTCGTAACAATGAAGACGAAAATCTAAAAAGGAAAAGGAAAGCGGCTCAAGAACGTGAGAATGAAGCGGAGGCCAAACGGGTACCTTTAATGGATCTAGCTTTTATTTTCTGGACTACAAAGTATTTAATTGTCCCTTTTCGTTTAGGTCCGATTCGATTCCAGCCAATTTCCGAAGGTGTTCGATCGGAACCAAAACATCGGCGATCCGTCATTGGGTGCCGCGAAGATCCAGCCTGCTGAATCTGAATCAAGATGTGGTGTCAAGGATCGATATCGCCGGTATTCATCTCAATTACTCGGTTTATTTGTTTTTAGAATCAATCCAGCTGAAATGCTGCCTTGCCAACCTTCACCCTACGCTCCCAGGCCATCAACGAACGAGCCGATGCGCCGTCATCTATCGCCTCGCCAGCAGCCATATCGTCGGCCAGAATCGCCTCGCCATGACGAGAGACGGCGTACACCAGACCCAAGAAAGCTGACTGTAAGCGATTTTGCGAAATATTAGGGTTTTCACAAAATTCTTCGTAAATATTTGCTTCAGGACATGGTCGCGGCCAAACTATGCTATGACGTACGCCTGACGCTGCCTATCCAATACAGTGACCACGAGGATTGGCGCTTGGTCAGCACCCGTCAGCCTGTCAAACTCTATTTTAGGTCGAAGATGCCCGTAGGTGCAACTACAAGGCTCTCGCGTGCGATCGAGAATACGGAAGAAGGACCCGATCACCTCCACCAGATCCATTCCGCGGCCAGCGTTACCGCGACTTCACGGACATTGGAACGATCGACTTCCCCATGCGCAACCCCAACCTGGGAATTTTCTCGCCGATTTTCGATGCAGTCGACACTGTGAAAGATATACATATAGAGTTTGTCCTTCAATTATAATTGTTAGAAGATTTTTGCAGTAATTGGTCTGCCATGCCTGTTCGTACGTTGCTCGCCGACAACTCGCATGAGGCCTACAAATCTCGCCAGCTGGTCAGTCGGTTTTTTTTGCGCCGAGCTGTGTTTCAGCGTTTCACCGAACAGGCCACACCAGTGATGTCACTGCGTGACTGCATCCAGCGGAACATCGACGAATTGTCCCCAAATTTTTCGAATCCGCCGTCACGTTTTGCCGAGCAAGGGCCGTTCCTTTATCGCACCGGCTACAAAATCTGCTATTCGAAGGAAACAAAGTTTGTTTTGTATGTTTTGCTTTGAAATCTCTTTAGAGCCGAGCGTCGTCGTATTGACCAGGACAACCTTAGACGTGAAAACGACGTGAAGTCGATCGAGGACGTACTGCGCGAGACCAGTGAGGACAGCTACAACGTGCCACGTGCCGATGTGGACCTTCCGGTATTCTGCACCTTATCGCTTTTCATTGCGTTCAGGTTCCACGGACTTGGTTTGGCCCAGTGGTGCAACACGCCATTAGCGAAAACAACAACAAGGTGCTGTTCTTCAAAATGATCACATGGGTGAACCGGTTTCACGACGCAGCATTTGAAACTGTCGATGCCCAGGTGTGTAGTCTGATTCTTTTCGGATGATCGGACATTTTCAGTCACGAGGAGATATGTCTCTCTTTGGCACTAGGAAGCCTGCGAAGATCGTGCAAATGTCTCGGCTACTACTGTCCCTCGCCGTTGGCCTGGCACACCAGCAAGAGTTCATCAAGCGCTTTCCGGAGCTTGTTCGCCGCATGTCGGAATTTGAGGATCGGACCTCATTTCACCTCGGAGAAACGCGTGGTGCTGCAGAGGGGCGTGCACGCGTCATCGAAATGCACATGAAGGTACTTTGATTGTTTGAGTATACCCCGGGTGCTGTTTGTTAACGGGGGGAGGGGCTAACTATTTATTATGTCGTGTTGGCGTTCTTTCGGAGAAAAACTTTTAATATAATTTTACACGCTCTTTTAGCTCAAAACTTTCAAAAATTAGTTAAATCTTCGAGAACCGATTGTTTGGTTCTTTAGGATTCCCGGGGGGGGAAAGTATTCCCGGGGAAACCAATTTTTTTCCTGGTGGTCCCGGTTGACCTAGTAATCAAATATAAAGTGTTTTCGAATTGTTTTTAGTAAGTTTTAACTATATTTAAAGCAGAATAACTTTCAGAAAAATTTAGAAAAATGTTTGAAAAAGTCGAAAATTTGGTCATTTTGGGTCTATTTTTCGACCTAATTTTTAATTTTTTACATTTTTTTGGTTAAAATGTGTGTAGTTTTTATGCACAGGAATAGTTAAAAACAATTTAGAAACGCATCCGCAATTTATACAAAAATCTAGGCTTTCGCCGAAAAAAATTTGTTTTCCCCCCCCCCGGGAATACTTTCCCCCCCCGGGAATCCTAAAGAACCGATTGTTTTTATCGGTTATTGATGATTTGGTGAATCCCCCCTACCCCCCGATACACATACACACCGGATTTTTAGAAGAGGTCGACCCTGACGTTGGAAGTGATGAAAGAATTCTGCGAACTGAAAGAGTGTGTTTTGTGGCCTTGTGGAAACGCGGCTCTTTTAGATACGAAGAAGGGGATTGGATCACGATCTACAACGAGCTGGCTGCCTCCTATCGGCGATTTGGTGCGTCTGATCTAGCATTTTATATTAACCCTCCATTTAGAGCCGGTGAGTGAGCTGGACCTCCAGACTGAAATGACCGACGTCTTCGAGGGTCAGCTACAAGTGTCCCACCATCGGCTCATCTTCCACGACGAGTGAGCTTGATTTTTGCCGGGTGTAACAAACCCTTTTTTTAGGTACAAAGACAATCTGAAGAAGGCGCGATATGGTGATTGAGAAGGAAGTGAACGTATTTTTGTTAGTGTAATCTTTTGTGTTATGTGCTTGTTGGATCGTAATTTTTCGACTTAATAAAAATTTTATCAACGTGAGGAGTTTGAGTTCGCAATTCAGTGTTTCAAGGCGCGGTCAGGGGCACTGGACGGTTAGCGGGGGCGGGCATCTTTCGCCTTTGTTTAAGGTTAAAGTTTTCTAGAAATGTTTTGGCTTTTTAGTGAACGAAGACTTCGAAAATAGCTATAAAACCACACTATAAAATGCGAAAGAGTTTTGCCATGTATGAAACGGTTAGATAGCTTCCCTGATCTAACCACCCCCCACCCCGGTAAGAATCCAGTACCCGTTCAGGTGATGCACCAAGTCGACTCGGGCGTTTGGCGTCATGGCACTTGTCGTAAGGGACTTTGCCTGGATCCGTGTCTGAGTAGCAGCCGTACGGGACGTTGTGTCACTCGGGCCCTCATGCTCTCCCGTATTGATCCAGAGGGGCCAGGGGACCACACCAACACCAGTTGCCCCTACGCTCTTACCCTTCAATGCTTCCAATGTGCCCAAACATTCCGCTTGCACCCTAATCGAGTCGCCAGTATAGTTGCCGGTGGGTAGAAGCGGCTTCCGGCATTACGTTTAGCGCCTTGCCTTCCTACTTTCTAGACGTTTTTCGATTCTGGTTCGTTTGCGAAGGGGGGGGGGGGGGGGGGAAGGCTTCTATTACTCTGCCTAATCTCTACAGGCATAAAACCTAGGCTATTTTGGTGGTGTTTTTGATATTCTCCGGCCAGCAAAAGGTTAGAAAAACATTTAAAAATGCCAAATATATAACTGTTTTTTAAAATTTTTCACGTGTTTTTGTCCAGGAATTCGACAATTTCCATAGATTTTTGATCTTTTATACGCTTTATATCGCAAAAAGGGGCTGATAGTTCTAATACACAGCTTCTGTCCGCCTCATCATCAGGTCGGATTTACATAGCATCGGCACATCGGAAACGATAGCCCCTTGATAATGAACCAGCACCGATTTTTTTGCAATAATTCCTTTCGTAATCGATCTTTGGCCATCCAAAGTTTAGCGCCACGGGGTACAAACTTTTACTATAGCTAGAAAAGCCATTTCCCAACACGACGACCATGTTCAGGGCATGGGCAACTCTGGCAGCTCGCTCTCAGAGCTGAACCTCTTCTCCAAGGGCGGCGTCTTCACGCGCGAGCAGCTGGACGAGTATCAGGATTGCACATTTTTCACGCGAAAAGATATAATTCGGCTGTACAAACGGTTCTACCAGCTTAACCCGCAAAAGGTACGCCGTTCTCTTCATTTTTGACTTTAAAATGCGATTCGACCTCAAAATTGTTCTTCTTATTCAGGTGCCAACGAATATGCAAGGAAATCGCCCACAAATCGTGACGCTCACCTTCGAGGAGGTCGAGCGGATGCCGGAGCTTCGGGTTTGTACGGCTTGACCGCCCCCAAATATCGAGCGTCTCTTTTCAGGAGAACCCGTTCAGACGTCGGATCTGCGAGGTGTTCAGCGAGGACGGGCGAGGGAATTTGACGTTTGACGACTTTTTGGATATGTTCTCCGTGTTTTCCGAGATGGCGCCGCTGCAGTTGAAGCTCAAATATGCATTCAGGATCTATGGTGGCTCTAAACTTTTTTGAATAACAGTTGCAGGGATATAAACTCAAGATAAAGCGATGAAACCAACGCTACATTTTTCAGATTTCGATGGTGACGATCACTTGGGGCATGATGATTTGTCGAAAATGATTCGATCACTAACGAGAGACGAGTTGAGCGATGAGGAAGTGGAGTTTATTATAGAAAGGGTACGTCTCAATCCCATCAATGCATCTAAGCCCTTCCTAGATAATCGAAGAAGCCGATCTGGACGGCGATGAGCGGATATCGTACGCCGAATTCGAGCATGTAGTATCCCGCTCCCCGGACTTCATTCGAACGTTTCATATTAGAATTTGAAAAGTTATTGTTTTTGTTTTCTTGTTGTACATATTGGTGTCATTCCCTTGTCAAAGGTTACAAAAGCTTTGAGTCAAAAGTGTACAGAACACACCATTTATTACACGTGGCAATTGTCATTCAAATTCATTACACAGGATTGCTCTAATAATCGCACCGAAAAGTTCTCGTATGGCATCGGAAAGTGGTCGCACTTTGGCGGCTCTTCCGATGTCACACAGGCATTTTGTTTTGTGTATTTTCTGCACGACAATTTTTTAAAATCTTTATTTCATCCAAACATTAACGAGGCAGTTTAAGATTCCGTATTGTGTATCTGTGGGGCGGCGCTTCATCGAGTGGTACAAATCGGGGTTAGCGGGCGTATTCTTCTTCTTCAATTACATCACCTCTTGACCGCGGTTTGAAGAGGAGTGCCGCTCCAGCGGCAGTTTCCGCAGCAATGGTCTAAATTCGACCGATGTAAAATTCTGACTAGATTTATTACCGCGCAGCAATCCGGCTGGTAGGTGCGCTGACTCCTGGAAATGAAATTTATTGTCCGATCTCCGGTTTTTGACCGCGTGATGGTGATGTATAGCGATAGCCATCGTAAAATGCCTACGACGGGGGAAGTTTCAAGTAGTGCATCAGCTCGCGGCATGCCTGGGCGCAAATCTTCTCCTCGTGGCGCTCTTTTTTGTCGGCACTAAAAAAATAGCTTGTATGGAATGGGGAATGACGAAATAAATGAGGAATTCTTCTTTCGCAAAATTCTTCCGAAAGAGCTTACTAGTAGATCCTCCTATGCTTCCCGCATAGCAGCTGTCCATTAACGGGTCATCTACTTCCTGTCGACCGCAAAGCAAGCATCCATCATTGGCCGGCGGGAACTAAATCCCACTGGTATCTGCGAAATGATGAATCAGCTTACCTTGTTGATAACCCCATCGCGGGAAACGGGGCGTTTTGCAGTGAGCGGTGAAGGAGCGGTGGGTGGAGAGGCCGTCGTAGACGACTCGAACTCGGTGGCGGGGTGGTCAGTCGACGGGTCGAGGGCCGTAGGGGGGGTCACCGCCGTCGGCGTCGAAGTCGTGGGCGTAGACGGGGTCATCGGTGTCTGGGGCTTCAGGGGCTTCTTCTCGCCAGGCTTCTTACCGACCGCATGTCTGACTCGGCGCCACCCTGCCTAAACATCGGGCTACTGTTGAAGCGAAGGATGAACCCACCGATATTTTGTCAAACCCCCATCGCGCACAACAGCGTGACGCTGGCGTGAGCCGCGCCTCGGCGCCGGCGGGTCGGCCATCCGGGCGTTGTATCTTTGTTTTTTTTTGGATTGCGAGTTCTTGTGAGGCAGCTTCATAGTATTTTTTTTATTCTAATGTCGGAACTTCCGCTATTCAAAATTCAAAATAACTGAGAATTTGAATCGTTATTAGGGGTACAAAACCGGTTATATCCGACAGCCGCGTGGCAGCTTAATCATGAGCAGAAGTTCTAAGGGGGCACCGAAGTGCCTAAAAGTGAGTTACGATCCGAAAAGCGAAAAGCCTATCTACACCCGGAGTGCGGGAAGCCTGGGAACTTGAAAATTTAGAATGGCTTATACAGGGTGTATCAAAAAAAAGTGCCCAAGTTTGTCCCCAATTATCTCGAGAAGGAAAGATATTTCACCGTGCGTTACCATGCCAGAATGCTTAAATATGTCAGGAATAGGGAAATAACTCAACTTGATTTTTTCGATTTTTGGCGACGTATCAATACAAATGACACCCGAAAACTGTGCGTTCGGGGAAACTTCATTTGCATTTTCCTCAGTTTCCTGTGGTGGCTGGCTTCTAATTTTTAAAATGTAGAATAATCTAAGCAACAGATATGCACCTAAAAAAATTTAGATTTTTTGAGGGTCCGGGTCAAAAGTTATGCACCACTGAAATTTTGTATGTAGAAATTTCGTGAATTTCGTGTATTACAAAAACCTGTGGTGGAAGTGTCAAGAAGAGTGGTTTTAGAAGATCTACGGGCTCGACACAATCGCATAAAAATATTTTAAAATTTTTTAAGATCTCTGAATTTTTGAGTTTTTCGACGACCCCCTGGTCATGGATTTTTTTGGGGTCACGGCAACGAACTTCAGAAAAATATTTCTAAAGTTGCAGATGAAACTCGGCTAAGTTCTTTTCTTGGTTATGTAGGACTGGGGTTTATGTGTCCTCTGCAAGAATTTGAGCTACCGTACCCACTCGGAAAGGCGCCTTTTAGGGCCCCCAAAACGGTTGGTTCGTGCTATTTTGCAAACCTTACTTCCTTTCTATAAAATTGAATTGTGCCGCCTAAATTCTCGCCACATTTTTGTTTGATACTATCTGGTTGGCGCATTCAAATATTATATTTACGAATTTATTCAGCCATACGCTATCTCGAAAGAAATTCATGAAAAGCCCAAATATACCCGAATTCGAGGCTATGTAAAAAAATGCTCGATGCGCTAGTAGCCGTGAAATTCTTAGCATAAACCAAGCTTGGGTATTCAATTAAAAACCATGCAAAGAAAAAACTTTTCTATGGCAAGCGATTTTAGAAGAGCGCCTCAAAGTCCATTTTTCAAAAACGTTATTTTCGGGTTTTAAATCAAGATCAACCATTAACTTTAGTCAGATCATTCCAGAATTCTGTTCTCATACACAATTCGATGCGTGCTTTAATTGTATCCACCAAACCCCGGTGCCTTTTTAATTTTCAAAAATTCGATTTTCGAGCCAGGGCGTTGGGTCCAAAATCGGGGCCCGAAGGTGGTTTTCCTCTTTCCCTCATAACTTTGTCATCTGCCACAGGAATCAAGTAATTTTTTGTAGGTACTCTTACAATCGCCCAGTGAACATTCTAAAGCCGAAAAATTGGCACTTTATGGAATTTTGTCTTGGCATGCTAAAACGCGCTCCAGGCGGGTTACTGTAGAAAACAGAAAATCGTCGTTTTCTCGTTCTTTTCACCATAAAACCGTTTCGATCTTTCAGGAAAAGGAATAATAGTAGTTTTTAGTCCGATGCATCAAAATATTTAGAAATTTCCGTGGCTAAATTCGAAAATAGGTTTTTTGCATATTTTGGGAAGGTGTATGGCTAGAACTTCGCGATACTTAGCCCATAGGTGACCCTTACCGGTGTTTACCAATGATAAAATTTTCAGCGACATCGCAGCTTACAATAAAAAGAAAAACGCGAATAACAAAAACTACAGTACCCCTCTGGGGCACGTTTTAGCAAGTAATATTAAAATACCATAGAATCAGGTAAAATTTGGTGTTGCGCTAAAGATTATCATTCGGAGACACCATCTGCAAAAGATCAGCCATGGTCAGCGTAGTTGAAGCGAGTTGCGATTTAAAGAGTAAAAATAAGCAAAATAGGGAAATTTGTTTTGCTTGTAAAACAAAAACCTGAGCTTGAAAAATTCTAAGATTTGGCCATTACCTTTTTACAAATGCCAACGATTTTTGGGCCAAAAATCAGAATTTTCCCACCACCCATTCAAGAACGCACAATTTTCGGTCGTAACCCCCGTCAATAGTACAGTTGCGTACTCAAAAATCGAAAAAATCAAGTTGAGTTATTTCCCTATTCCTGACATATTTAAGCATTCTGGCATGGTAACGCACGGTGAAATATCTTTCCTTCTCGAGATAATTGGGGACAAACTTGGGCACTTTTTTTTGATACACCCTGTAAGCCTGCGGCGCAAGCTTGTGAGGGTAGCTACATTCATTCATGCGCCGCCAACGTCAGCTTCGACGCCATTCCTTAGCCTGCGGCGCAAACTTGTGGTAGCTGCTTCATACCTCGTACCTGCGGCGTTAGCTGCGGAGGTTGGCTTCAAACTGTAGCTTGCGTGGCTAAACCCGTTCTAAAGCCTACGCGCAAAATTGAGGGGTCAGCCTGAATTTTTGGCCTGCGGCACTAGTTTCATCGGCTAGTTTCGTTTCAAAGCCCGTGGCGCTAGCTTGAGGAGCCGCTCGCTTGATTCCATAGCCTGCGGCGCGAGCTTGAGAGGATAGCGTCGTTCGTTAGCCTGCCGGCAATTGCGCGGTTGCACAAGTTTTGACTCAAAAGTGTACAGAAGAAACCATTTATTACACATGACAATTGCGCCGAATCGGCAAAACGGAGGGGCAATCGATAATTGGAAGCCGAGAAGAGGATAATTAGAGAATCGAGCGTGAGGGAATCGTTTTTTGAATTGTTCGAAAAGCGGGAGTTGCAGCTGAGGGCTCAAGACGAGGTGACCAGCGGCAGCAGGGCCAAGTCGAAGTTGTTATTGTTGGCGCCGGGCTGCTTGAACGCCTCCTCGCCGCCCAGCTCGCCGGCCACGGGCATCGACAGAACGACGAGCTTGTCCACCTTGGCCGCACCATTATTGCGCATCACTTGCACTTCCATCTAAAATGGTTTGGATAGACTGAAAAAGCTGAAATTCGCGGTACTTGCTGTTAGCGGGGGACCTGTAGATAAGTAACTTTTGTAGTCTTTCATGGTTTTTGATACAATGAATCATCAAAATCTAAGAATTCTGAGACTATTTTCCGAAACTTCTGACCAAGAATAAATTTTTCGCAGGTTTTGTTAGCTAAATCCTACCTAGGGCCCGATAGGCAAAAGTTAAGCCCCGCGCTAACAGTCCACTACCAAACTGCCCACCTTCTCTCCAGCCTTGATCACTCCATAGACGGGGGCAACGCGGTAAAGCAGGTTGTCGCTAGTTTTAACCTAGAAAAAAAGGATGTGAAAATATAAAAACGGTGCACCTTGAAAGCCCTGGTGGTCGAGTCGGTGTTGTGCAGGTTGAATTTGCCGAGGCCACCGGTCGCCTTCCAGTTGAGCTGCGTCTCTTGGATGGTGATGCCCTGCGTCTTCGGGCCCGCGCCGGAAATAGCCAGCGTCTGCAAAGCCACGATAAAAAGCCAAAATAAGTTGATTACCTTGATGCTCTTGCCAGACTTGCTCTTGGCGCTCTTCACGCTCTTAGCCGACTTTTCCTTCTTGCTCTTGATGGAGGAGTCTTTGGCCTTCTTGCTCTTGCTCGACTTGCTATCCTTCTTGCTCTTCGAAGACCGGCGGCTCTTCGACGATTCATCGGAGGGCTTCAGCTTTCCGGCAGCGGCCAGAGCCGTGGATTTCGGCTTCGACGAGCTGGACTTCTTGCGGGATAGCGACTTGGATCGGGCGCTCCTGGAAGAAAAAAATAGAAAGGCAACAATTTTGTATCTCGACCCCACTTTGTACTAGACAATTCTGGTTCCTTTTTATAATAAGAATAAATTACGTTTCAATCGACAAGGTAGCATAATTTGAAAAATTTGAGACCGAAAGCCAAAATCTCTGCGAGGAAAGTCATGGAAAATCTATCCTAAAGTTCGCCCTACAAATGAGCCGACAAACTACAAAACTAGACTTTAGCCAAACTACTCGACGCTAAAAAACTCACTTGGACTTGCTGCTGCCAGGCTTGGCGCTCTTTCCGCGGCTCTTGCTCTTGATCTTCGCCGACTTGGCGCTTCCGTCACGCGGCGCCTTCTTCTTGCTCTTCGAGCCACGGCGGGCCGAGCGGCTGGCCCGCGACTTCGAACGCGTCGAGGCAGCACCGGCTTTCTTTTTCTAAAAAGGAAAATAGCATTAGAATAAAAATATTTGAATACCTCTGCGGTGCGGCCCTTTCCGCATTGGACGAGGAATGCGGCGGCAGCGGCCGCGGGCACGACCGGAAGCAGTGCTCCCAGCATTGAGAAAGAGATGGAGGACCATCGGAGGATTCGTTAAAAATGATGAACCTATGAAAAAGTGGTTCAACTTCCGTTCCGGTAGGGATTCCGGATGTAAAAGAGGAATTCAGGCGCTAGTGGGCAAGAGGCTACGCGACGCTCCGCTGAAGATGCACTTACTTGGCTTTAGGCTTGGCTTGTAAAACTTTTCAAGCTTGGCTTGCAAATTTATTAGCCTAAGCGTAGAGCGAGCCTGGTAGTCTCGTATACGCCCAAGCTTAGCTTAGCAAGCTTTGTCTTCAAATTTGGCCTAAGAGTTGAAGAATCGGGTCTTCGAGAATCGATACGAATCTTGCCTTGTCGGCAAGCGCCTACAAGATTCTGCGATGAAGCTGCTTAGTTTTTAGCTTCCGGTTAGCTTGACCTGGCTTTGTCTATGCTTAGCTGAACCAAAATTGTCACATTTTAGTTTTACATGTGCCTAGGAGTCGAAAAATGGGATTCGTTTGCAACCAAACTAGCTCAGTTTTTCGATTTCCCACTTTCCTATAGCGCTTTAAACCATACCAGAATACCCGCAAGGCCCAGGCGAACATTTTGGTATACGTGGCAGACTTTGGACCAACCGGGAGCCGATATACAA